AGATACATTTATTTGGTACAAGAACCAATAATTTAATCTAACTATAATTCTTTATTGAATAAATATTTATTTATTGTACTGTTGAAAAAAATATATTTAGTAAATTTTTTAATAAGAATTTAATAATTTTTTTAGTGTAATAATAATACTTATATAGTTGTATTCTAAAAAATGTATAGCTGGTATCGAAAATGACTATAAATTATAGTTAAATTATAGTAATTGTAAACTATTTTTTCTCTCTATGTATATCATTGCAAAAAATTTCATTCGTAGAATTTCACGTGTACTTAACATTATTAACTTATTCCTTTAACTTTGATTTTGCTATAAATTCACTTGTGCACATTCCGTACAAGGTTAATTTGGATACGCTAGAGAATATCTAATATCGAAGTAAATGACTGTTCGAATTTCACGATCGAGAGCCCATTCACGATGATAATCTCCGCTTCGACGATGAAATTCCGCGCACGTACGGCCCCGTTCGACCGAAGCCGTCTTAGTTGAGAGTATACATTAATCCGACAAAGAAGCTGCTTTCCATATTATTGCGATTTATATCGGCTGCCTGCTGGTAGAGCGAGCGGCTATATTTTCTCACTTAATTCATTCCGCGGGAATAAAGGTAAAACTTAGACGACGGCGAACCACCGATTTTCTTCGGGACTAATGACATTAATACCTCTGGTCCTCTATCTTTTACATTCAGTTATATCTGTTCGATGATTCTTGCTCGCCAGGAATCCCCAGTGCCGGGTTTCTTACGTAATGTACAAAGGGATTTAAAAAATTAAGACATTAAAAAATTATGAAATATCAAATATGATAAAAAAATTTATATCTTATTATATTATTGTTTACTGATACTAACAAATTTTTGTTTTTTTATGAATGTATTTTTTTTATAATTCTCGCTATGTTAGGGATTTTTATTTTAGATTTTATAACAAAGTATTTATAATTAATAATAAAATTATTAATTTTAAAATGTTATCTTGGCATATCTTTAATTCAATTAAATATTTTTAAATAATTTTTTGACTTTACGTATTATATAATGGGAGGAGAAGGGACATCACATATACTATATTCGTCTCCAGAATTCTCTTGCAGGAATTCCTCTTTGCGTACCGCATATAGAGAGACAGTGAGTAAGAAGGAAGATCGGAGAGGGTTTCGCGCGCATTTGCATGAAGCTGCCATAAGCGATTCTCCGTCGCTCTTTATATAAGTACTAAATTCAGTATTACGGTCGTTCTCCTCTTCGCTCCTCTAAGCGGAACATGTATAAAGGTTCCACCGGCAAAAAGTGCGATATTGTTGGTACGGGAAAGAGAAACTCGTGCGGGTATTGCGCGAGGAGAGTCGTACGTGACCTTGGAGAATTAATGGTATCCAACGACGGTCGAAAATTATTTTCGACCATCCAATATCCAATATCGCGACGAGAAATATATGAGTTAATCGTGACCACCTTTAATACACCGACTGTTTATAAAAAAAGTCAAGCTTGCCGCGAATGCATTTAGAATCGATGCGTTTGCATTGTTTCTGTGCGATAATGAGAATTTTGATGTATTCACATGTAGTTGATTTATATATATAGGTTTTAAGATTGCTGTTGACGATAATCTGCAGTAAAAATTCCGAAATAAAAAACGGATAAAAATTCTAAATTTTGTTGGATTAGTGATTCCAAAAGCTCTTGGAATACGAATTTTATTCAAATTAAGACAATTTAACATTTTGGTCTGTCATATTGTATCCGCTATTTTGAATTTTGAAATTTTAATTATAAATTCATAATCAGCTAAACTCTAAAAACTTTTAGTAAAACGTCAATTAGGTGCTAATTATTTCTAGGAAAAAGTCAAGCATGAAAGGGTTAACAATTTCTATAGTGGAGTGTAATAACAATTCTTATTACTAATTAAATTACTAAATAAATAACAAGACATTTCGTTTAATTGATGCATGTTTTATTCAATTCAAAAATTATTCATTGAAATTTAATACTATGCAATTGACGAAATTCAACAGACGAAAAGAAAAAATAACTTTTTATTTAATAATTAAGTAAAAAATATTAATTATTGAGAATATATATATATATAAAACATTATTTTCTTTTAGTCTATTGAATTTTGTCGCTTATGTAATAATAAAATTTCAATAAGAACAAATTATAATCTGTCTTTCTGCAATTACGACGAAGGTTCTTCGCGACATTCGAAAATAATTAAATTCCTACTAAGAATGCGTTTTATTAGGTTTTAACAAGAGTAATTTAGCTATATTGATTTTTAATGGTAAGATTCGTTCAGGTATGATATTAAATTCTCTAATTAATGGTATAACGAGCAAGTGAAATTCAATACAGCAAGAATTAAAACAATATGAATAGTTGCGATCAAAAGCATATGCACTATCGTGATCGCGAGCACACTGGACCATCCCACAAAATATCAATACAACGATTATCCGAAAGGAAGGGAAGTATCCAATTCCATTTCAACTTCGACCTTATCCACAGAAAATTTTTCATCAGAAACTTTTCCAATCTTCTATCAGAGTATTTTCGTTCCGTTTCTTAATCGGTCGCGAGTTTTCTGTGAACTCAGCCAACATTGGTAATACCCGATTCTTACATTCTATCGTGACTCTCATCGCGATTATTTCTTTAAATTCATTAATTATATTGGCATCTTATCGGATATTTATGTAATAAGAATTTCGATACTACAATAAATATAATAAATATAATAAAGGAATATAATAAGAAATTTAATTAGTATAATATATTAATATAACATAAAAATTTGTATTATAAAATTTCTTTGACATTTTACTATAAATCTAATAAAACTATAAAAGTGTGATGATAAATAAAGATATACATCTTGTCCGTAATATTTGCATCGTGTAATATAATATTGAGCAAAAAATCTTAAATTATAATTTTAATAAATTTTAACGAAAATTCCATAAACATGTTGATAAAAAGAATCAGAGCTTTTAAAAACAATAATAATATTACGAGAGAAAAAAGCAAGTTCGTCTCTTAGGCGATAGAAAAATTCGTAAGACATTTTAATGGTCTCCGGGAAAGTCGGTGTTCTGATTAAATCGCCTTTCACGAGTCAGCCGGTACTACTATTATAAAAGTTGTAACAGCTTTATTACGGCAGCTCTCTCGTACCGTGACTGGAAACGGAAGAATTTTTAATTTCGTAATCGCACAAAGACAACGGCTTTTGAGTTTAAGACTTGGTCGAATATTCAATGTCTTTTCCTCCTTTGTAAACGAGGCCTCTGTTTCTCTATTGATTGCAAGATTGAATCTCGTATTCAAAGTTTGATCATTTACCTGTCTTAAGTATTTATTTCTAAAGTTCTATTATCAATGTAGTATTTATTCTATCTATTCTTATCCAATGGCAATGTAAAAAATCTATTGGACTGCTCTTCTAAAATTTAGCGTAAAATTTCTTTACATAATTTTTAGCTTTAACCAAGAGGTGCCATTGAATTCTTTAATTGGATCGAAGCTCTATGAAATTTCGTAGTCGTCATTTAGATATTGAATGTTTAATGTACTTTCTCCAACAGAGTATTTTAATAATAAATAAAAGTTTTTCTTTTTTTTTTATTTAAAACGCATTAATATCAGCCTCAATACAGTATAAATAAAAAATATTAAGATATCTGAATAATTATAATTACAATAGATAAGATATTTTATAAATAAATTAATAACTAATTACAAAATTAATGATCTTTATAATTGTTATTTATATTATTATTGATTATCTATCTTGATTACTCTATTTTGTTTTTTATTTTTATCCTTATTTCCGTTTTTTTACATTATATTGGATATATTTGCTGTATCTATGATATGATAAATGCGATACAATGAGAAAGAGAGATCACTTTAAATGGCAAGAACTATAATGTTCGATCCGCATTGCACAATCTCTCTCTATTTTGGCTTTCTTACAACTAGATTTTGGCTTTGTTCCCGAATTGGGAATGTCTTTTAGCTGTAGTAATAAAATGGACGCCTGGCATGCGTCTCTGTGACATATTTGTTTTTAATAGTGCGTAAGCGAAAAAAATTGATTCGCCCCAATATCAATGGAAATAAAGGCGAAATATGCGACAGCAACGATTCGTTTTATGTGCTCGCGAAATTCTACCTTTTTCCTAGGAATTTGTTCAAGTTCAATGAAAATTCTTTTTATTTTATTGACTTCCGATTCGCAATAAATTATGCGCTTTACATGATATTTTATTGTGTGTGTGTGTGTGTGTGCGCGCGTGTGTATGTGTGCGTTTTGCTATTCGCGAATTCGAGAAATTCTGGGCATTTTTTTTGTGGAATATCGTCGAATCGTAGTAACGTTGCCAAAATTCAGTAATACTATCACTCGACTTTACGTCCGAATCATGGCGCCATTAATTCTCTGACACCATTTGGTAGAGCGATCGGGAACATTAATAAAGAATGTTTTTGTCTCGTTGTCCGAATGAATCAACTTCACGAAGTATCTTTTCGCAGACACATGACAGGCAGCAAAATGTTCTTATTGAATACAGATTGGATTTATTTTTTATTTTAATTTCTTTAATATATTAATCTGTTTTATATAATTGTTACCTTAACTCTTAACTATCATTATGAGTTCCCTAAAACCGTATCCAATTTTTTAACGTCTGTCAAAACGTCTACTAATATGTTTTAAATAAGGATCAATGAAAAATAAATAAATAAGAGTCTAAACATTGAAAAGTATAATAAAAATGTTTCCAAGATGTAAGATTAATTATTTCTTTACGATGTCAGTTAAGGGTTAATAAGCATTCATTATGTTAATGAAGAGCTTGTATTAATAATTACTTTATTTTGCTTATCTTATTTAGTGTGTTTAAAATATACATGTTATTGTTGGAACTTGTTATTTATACACTGTTGGAAAATTTGTGTAGAATGTAATACATTTCACATGTCCCAAATGGTCTACTTAAATTTTTGTGTTCATTTAACATAATATGAATATCTTGGTCAGTGAATACCATAATAGTCAATTATCCACACTCTACTGGTAAAAAGTCTAAGGGAATTGTTCCTGAGATGGAAAAAACTAGGTTTTTTTGATGATTTGATATATAAGAGAATTTCCTGCAGCAATGGCAACTTATCAAGAGTATATGGGTTATCAAAAGTGCTTAAACCTAATTATCCATTTGGACTAATTATTTCTTCGAACAATAGTCCGCATAATATTACAGCTAATAATGTTCTCAAATCTTTTAATAACGTAGAGAATAGTTTTCAGCTAGTTAAAAACTTACAGAATGTATATATAGAATTTAATTTTGTTTGAATTTCATTAGATGTAAAGTCTCTTTTTATTAGTGTATCTACAGATTTGGCCATTGAGAGTATTTCAAAAAAATGGCTCTATTTTGAAAATTGCATTTTAAGACTGAATTTATTAAGGCTGTACAATTAGTTTTAAACACTTACTTTACATTTGATAATTGTTTTTATCAATAAAAATTCAGTACTTCAATGAATTTTCCTCTTTTTCCCATTGTGGCGGACTTAGTACTTCAGGATTTAGAGATCGAAGCGACACGAAAAATACTCATATCCTTGTCTCTGTTTAGAAGACATTGTCATGGCTGTTCCAATGGACATGATTGATACTGTGAAACAAATTTTTGAGTCCTTTCACCCGAGAATTCAATTTACGATTGAATTTGGAAGGGATTAAATCAATTTTTTTGACATCACTATATTAAATAATAATAGTAAGCTGGAATTCGATTGGTTTCATAAGTCGACGTTTTTGGGCAGGTTTTTCAGCACTTTTTGTCAACACATCCATTGTCCCAAAAGAGGGGCACTGTTATAGGAATGATCAAAAGATGTTTTTTATTCTCTTATTTTTAGATTTCAAAAAAAAAAATTTGAGATTTATTATTAATACGTTACTTGAAAGTGGTCATCCTTCCGAGTTTTCGAGACAATTAATTCCATAATAAAATCGTTTTATAAAAAAAAAACCAAGGCGCAAAATAACGTCATAGATTTATTTCAAGAAAATATATGTAATTGGTATATTTTTTTATTTCATTTAGCTGTGAAGAAGTCAGGAACACAATAAAAAATTTGAATGTTAAAGTAGGTTCCTTCAGCTTAGTCACTAATCATAAAGATCTTTTTTCATTTTGGAAACGTAGTATCCATAAGTAACTGACCAGTAGCAGATCGTGAATAATTGACTATTATTATGATATTCATTGAGGAAGATTCCAAAGTAAGTCGAAACATTTGAACAATTCTTTGAGATAATATATTTAAATACATTATTAATTTTTGCGCTCATTAACTGTGCGATTACTCTCATTAGCCTTATTTAAATTTTCTTGATTTTTTTTAAAGTATAATTAATATTTATGACGTGTTAAATTAATACGTATTTCATTCATTTATTTTTAGAATTTACGTTTTAAAACATATTATTTTTATGTTATAAATTGTGTTATTTTGACACTAAGAAACATTGAATATTAATTGAACACAAAAAACTTTTAAATAACATGATCACTTATATCGAATTAACACTCGAATATGTTAACGAAATTTAACACAAACGAGGTCAACAAAAACGCGAGTGGACTGTTTTCAACACAAATACATAATATTTTTTACCGTATAAGATTCGTCAGATTTTTAGCATTATTTTTTTCTAACGATTGACATTTCAAACGATGATGCGACGTAATTACAAGCGATGACTATTATCTGCCTGACGCGTCTCTTCATTAATGACTTGTCTAGTTGGTCGCCGCGAATTGTGCCGATTGGCTTTACTGGGTTTCTTCAGAGAGAAGTGCGGAGATAGTTCGATTCAATCGTGTTTGCGCTACGAGATTAATTGGTCTCGCCTCGGACTTGGGACTCGATGCGTTCGCTCAGCTGACAATGCTGAATATTCTCGCGTTTATCGATACAAACGCGCAGAGTCGTATGATTGAGTCTCATTCTAGATGATTCGTTAACTTGCTTCGATAGAAGACTTAAATCAATAACGGGATAATGTTCATTTTACTGTGAAGTTTATTTACGTTAGATATTTTTTATTGTACGATTATATGATTATGTTACAATATTATAATTTAAAGAATAATACCAATTTGTATTATTAAATTTCTGTTGCATTAAACAAACATGTTGCTGCCTATTCTAATTTCTTAACTTCTTTTCATCTATTTCTAATGTCACATCTTATAAATATATGCTCTAGGCGTAAAGTGCATTTTTAAATAATAAATTTAAAAATGTGACTTATTTAGTGTTGGATCTTATTCGGCTCAGATATCTTATATGCTTATTATTCGTAATTCAGCAATCTTTGCGATATTTTTATACAGATACGTCTAAAAATCTTAATTGTTTACGTAATTTAACTGTATTATTAAACGAGAATTAATTGAATTACATTACACAGTTTGAAAATTTGCGTTAAATTCAAAACAATTCAGTCTTAAACGGTCCACTCAAATTTTTTGTCTTAATTTAACACAAGATAAATATACTAGAAGGTAACACAAATATCATGTAAAAAAATGAGCAATGTACAAAAAATGTAACACAGACGCAATTTGTAAATAAATTGTGAAACCATGTTTTTTTTAGTTAAATTAACAAATCTTTCTGTCAATTGCATTGGTATTTGGATACATCGAATTTTAAACAGTAAAGATTTTTATATTTTTATGCGAATTTTGTTATTATGCCTCAGAAACCTCACTCTTTGAATAACAAACAACTATTTGTATAAATTATATCTCATTTTTTATATTTTTAGCGAAAATTTTGAGAAACACGGTAGAAAAAAGCTGAAAAATTATGTATTATAAAAGGTTAAATTAACCTATAATTTTATTCATTTATTTCAGACTTTACGTTTCAAAATACATTATCTTTTTTTATTTGGTCACTTACTTTATTATTTTTGTCATTTGTTTACTTACATAAATAATATTATTTTAACACTAAGAAATGTTAAATATCACTTAAGCGCAAAATATTTAGATAATACAGTCACATTATGTTCAATTAATACGGATATATGTTAAAAATTCAACACAAAAAAGTATATTGCTCAATCATCTGATTTTAACATAAATGCAAAACAAATGACGATCGTTGTCTCTTCAAAGATACTAAAATGATTGCTTTCGTGCGCAAGTTAGCGTGGATATAAATGATAAAAGTACGTCGGAGTAAGAAGTCTTCGATAAAGTCTTACGTGAAGGAAATATTGGCTTTTTTCAGTCCGCCGACGTTCAAAACAGCGACGCCGACGTCGCGCACGCAATTGAAGCTGCAGCTGATGCGGGAGCAGCTGCAGGAGCAAGAGAGGCGACAGGCGGAATTCCGGCAGAGCTTGCAGCAGCAAAGACCAGCTGCCGCACCGCCCAGACCAGTGCCACCTACGCCGTTGCCCACTATTGGTGTGGATGTTCCACCGCAAGTATTACAAGTATGTGTCGCCTTCGTATATCATCCGATCTGCACGATCGATGCTAAATTGCTCGCACAAAGCTCGAATCATGCAACACGATAAAATTATTTTGCGTTGCGCAATATCATGTTGTTATATTAAATTATAAATTCCTAGCGTTATTATATTACGGGATATTATGAATGGCGTGATTACTCATTCCCTTTGCGCAAGTAATTACTACGCGATATACATCAGTACGTTATCGTGTATACTATATTATTGTATTATATATCTATTTTACATTAGTTAATAATTTAGAATATACATATATATATGTACATATATATATATATATATATATATATATATATATGTATACGCGTATGTATTAAAAATTAAATAATCTTTTTCTCAAGAAAAGAAGAGAGAATTAAAATTGTTCGAATTTCGTATTATATCCAGATTGTATTCTAAATACATCGGCCTTCAATCAGAAAAAAGGATAGAAGTTAATTTTAAATACTTCTCCAAGAAAAAGTAACACTAGAAAAAATGACAAATCAAAATAGGGATAGTTTTTAAAAGTAATAACGAATTTTTGAAATTTGCATTGAATATAGTTTTTTAGTCTCAACAAAAAATCGATGGATTCAAAAAGAGCTTTACATGCACTTTTTTATATTTATGCTCTGTTCACAAAGTCTCATCTTAAATCTCAAATCAATCTCAATGATTTTTTCGAATTTAACGCAACAGAGTTTGAGGAATATCATTTTCTTATGAAAAAATTTATATTGTTTTTCAATATGATTTTTTTTGAAATAAGTAAAAATAAATAAACAATATTAATCTCTGTGTAGTATTAAATGTACAATATATAGAAGAAGTATAATAATAAATGTATATAGAGGAAGATCTATAAATATCCAAATATACGACTAAACTTATAAATCTATTTTTGCCAAAATAAAAAAATTAATATCTACATTACTTCTAGAGAACTTAAAATAAACAATTTGTAATTAGGTTTTTGTTAAATATTTAATTATGTCGTAGTAAATAATAAAAATGTGTAATTTTCTTTTTCTTCTCATGAACAATTTTATATTTTCCACTTGAAAGGATAACGATATTAACGAAATTCCCGAGATAACGAATTCAATAAACAAACAAATAACAACGGCCAATTGGGAACTGGCGTTGTAGACGGTACGCAAATTTGCTTTAAACAAGCTTTATTTCAATAATAAGAAAACAATTAGTACATGTTTCGGTTAATCTTTTAGTCTTTTGCAGCAAAACAACATAAAAAATTATTACAGTAATTATTACAGTTACTGCCTGATTGTGAGATGAACCTCAATTTACGTAATAATTTTTTATGTTGTTTTGCTGAAGAATAAAGCTTTTTTAAAGCAAAATTGTGTATCGCGCAATTTTACTTTATAAAATACAACGCCATTTCCTAATTGCTCATTGTAATCTGTTTGTTTATTAAATTTTTTATATATATTTTTTCTTGTGTCACTTTTTCTTGCAGTAGCGCGATATACATATATAATATAATACGTACAGTTTGATAAAGTATGACAATTGAAAGTCCCAATCTTTTGTCGACATACATCTTAGCTTCTTTCTTTGATTTGCCTTGTATTTGATGTTTTGTGTCAAAACTGGGGCGTCCGTAGAAGCTATAATAGAACTTGGCGTAAGTACCGAAGTATCCCAAGTCCACCACGATGGGGGGTTTTCCCAGATAGAGTCTTGTTATCCAAGTAGCGTTGGGTCAAGCATTCGGTTACCATTGTTTGCGTTTCCGTCGCTTAAAGCTCCATGCATATAGATATACATGCAGAAGGGCGGGCGTGGCTAAGATAACGATACCTTATAGTTCCGAGGTTCCGTAGTTTGCCGTATCGCAAGGCGAGCCGAATTCTGTAGCGTCGTTAATAGATCTATTCGGTACACCATATCTATACTGTTAGAACTGTCCCCCCCCCCTAAAATAATGGTAGATGGGTGAGAGGATATACGAAAGGGAGAAGGCACGAGAGTCGTAGATGGTTTACCTTGCAATTAGCTCCACGCAATGTGGTTGCTGCATTCGTGAAAGGTTGAACATATTATAGCTGCGATAATGGTCTCGTCATAGAATTTTCACATGAGATGTAGATGTTTAAAGCCGAAACATCTTATAAAGAATTGAGAATAATTTCTAAATTTAATCTTTTTCTTATATACAGATATCGCACTCTTATTTTAAAAGTAATACAACCATAAAAATTAAGTTTTTCTCTAGAAAAGGGAAACACTATTTTTAAATTTAATAGAAAATTATTGATTCATCAAATGTAAAAAATATATTCTTGACAGATCAAATGTTATTTTTGTCATTTTCGTACCATTAAAAAAACTACTTTTTTGAGTTGTAATGATTTTGACAAATTTTTATTAAATTAAATTAATTCACTTTTGATGAAGTAAGGTAATATTTACTTAATTTATTTATGGTAGTACCTAAAAAAAATCACGTTTTTTTAAGTTGTTTTATTACTTTTCACGTAAGGGGATGATATGATAAACGCGTTTTCATAAATCCTTAATGATTATTTATAAGTTTTTTTACTTTTTGAAACGCTATAATATTAAAAAGTGATCTTAAGTGATCGTATTTCGTAATATTATATAAATTTCTAATTACATATTAGATCTCATAATATCTCTGAATAATTTAAAATAATACATATAAGAATATTAGATTAATATATAATAGGTTAAGAAAAGACACATCGCGGATCGAACACTAATGTCAGTTTAATTTTCCTTACATTTAATTTCGCACTAGAAACATTTATTTAGAAATTATTAATTATTATTAAAAAATTGATATCATCTGTAAAAAAAAATAATAACGCGCCTCCACTATTTATTTATTTATTTAAAATTTTTTCTATCACATTAGCGACCATACAGTATAATAACACATTTGTTAAATCAGAAAATCTAAAGATAGTTAATAAAAAAAGCATTAATAATAAGCAAAGCACATTAACAGTATAGATTTGTGCACGAGGGCTTAATTTCTGATTCTCTGATTATCACTCTGAATTATCACTGTCTACGCGACTCGTCCGCAAATAAAGAGCTAACGCACCACGACGTGCCGATTTTCTTCAGGTGCGCACGCTGTTAGAGAATCCGACTCGCTATCACGTCGTGCAAAAGCAGAAGAACCAGGTGCGCCAATACCTACACGAGTCGTTTCGTGGCGATGAGGACGGCGGCGGCGGCAGCAGTGCCGGCAATGCGGTCGTCAGCGGCAGCGCCGGTAGCGAGGGCGGCGGCAGGACACCGGTCGACGCCGGGCCGCCACCCGTCCCAATGGTGGTGCAAAGTGCACCGCCCGGCCCGCAGCTGCATCACCCGAAGCCGCAGCATCCTCATCTCGCCTCGTATCCGCACGCCCCCGCGCTGCTGCCGCATCACCCTGGTAACCCGACGGTGGTCTCGGCAAGCCCGGACCCTACCACCACTGGCACCATGTCCCCAGGTCTGTCCAGCGTCGCCACCAGCAACTCCGAGGTACGTGTGGTGTGTAGTATGCGAGTTGATTGCGTGGACAGTACAACGCAGTGTTTCTCAAATGCGAGGAACCAGTTATCTAAGATATGATATTTCATCGAGCGAAAATATCCAATCCCTCCCTCATTCAAAAGTTAAAAATACACTGAAGAAAATACTGAAAGAACGATTTTGTGGAAAGAGATCTCAACTTTTGTTAAACACAGATCCAATAATAATTTTGTTAGACCATCAAAATAATTTTGTTGGAAATCAAACTGATTGTTAGAATATCAAAATTTTTTGTAGCATCGCACATCATTTTTTAGTTTTTATAATTATTTTTTGACAGTTCAACAAAATTATTTGCTGTATCTAGCAAAAGTTTAGATCTTTTAGCAAAATCGTTTTTTTCTGTGTAGAGATGCGCGAAGTAAGAATTATAAAATTAGTTAAACAAAAGCCTTACAGAATTATATCAATTTTTGCATAAGAGCTGAAAGATTAATTTGATTAATTTGAAATTCTAGAAAGAAGAGATAGGAAATGAAAACGGGATAGTATATAGAAGGAATGATTTCGTTAAAGTATTTAAAAATTTTGTTAGACACAAATCTGAAAATAATTTTATTCAACTATTAAAATAATTGTGTAAGACGGTCAAGCTAGTTACTATATTATTATATAGAATATCAAAATTTTCTACGGTATTGTTCATTAGAACAATGTTGCCTTGAGTTTTTTTTATTACATAACTACAAAATTATTTTCAGATTTGTGTCTAGCTAAAAATTTTAGATAATTAATTTTTTCCGTGTATGAAAGAAAATGGGAAAGTAGATTTTATATTGGAGTAACAATATAATGGTCATTTTCGATTTCGGAATGCGTGAGTTTCGATCGATAAAACCAAAATGATGTTGCTGTGCACGTCAAGAAGCCTCGCGACATCGTAAGGAAAGTTATTTTTCTAACAATAAGTCATTCCCGTTCATTCCATCCAATCTACGTACGACGTTTTCGATTAACGCTAACTGGTCTTATGTAATCCGTCGGTTATCCCGTGTTGCCGGGCGGCAACTTCACTCTCTCGCTCGTTTAATAATTAATCACTAGTATTCTCCAACACATCGTCGATTCTTGCGTAATCTCACGAAACGTATGACATATCGCGCTTTGAATAATTTCTCGACTAGAATTGGAGTCTGTAATTCTTAATGATAATATTGTTATCATTATATTATCGTTGCGCAAGTATAATATGTGATTAAAAAACTGTAACATCATTATAACGATAACGACATTATCGTTAAGATTTACAGAATCTACACAATAAAAGACATTTTGTATTTGTTAAAATCGATCTTTGTTAAAATTTTTATGTTTTAAATTTTAATCACCATCAGTTCCTGACTTTTTCCTTTTAATTTTTTGATGACACTTTTAAATATAGTATACACTATATTTTGATAATTGATGTGTGCTGCAATATATCTCCACATGCTATTGTATCTGCGTCTCTCACTGATTTGAATTTGTCTAATACGAAAATCTGATTACTTAGGACACTGGATTAGTTTCTATTTATAGAATAGCGAATTTTGCACGATTGTAATACACACACACACACACACACACACACACGCGCGCGCGCGCGCGCGCACACAATTTTATATTTTATTTGAATTTTATACATTATAGTGACATTATCTTTTTATAAATAATACATCAAAATTTTAACGTTTCTATAAATATTTTGTGACTAAAAAAAATTTATTTCTGAAAAGTCGTCTAAGAGCGGCAAAATACATAGTACTATTATTCATTATATTCGACGATGTTGCCATTAAATATACAACTTAAAAAGATCTAAGAAAAATTTTAAAGAAATACTCTTAAAAAATATTAGATACATATAAAAAAAAATTTGGAAAATGATGTCCTATATAATAACGGTGGAAAGGAATCGGTTTACATAATGTGATTGTATTCGTATTATTTTGATTGAATATTTTGCGTTAAATTAATATTCAACGTTTCTATTAACATCAAAATAATACAATTTATGAATAACTAAACTAATAACATATAGAACAATTTTTATATTTCAAAATTTAAAATATACATTCAATATTTTTAAATTTTTAAATATACATAAAACAATTTTTGTATCTTGAAATATTTATTTTAAGATAAATGAATAAAATATATTAATTTGAAATATTATTAAACATTGTGGATAAAATTCCAAAAATAGATTATTTCCGATTTCGATGAAATTTTGTAAAAAACTTCATTTCGCGTTAAAATAGAAATCTTTAAAGGGATTTTTAGAGATTCTTACAAAAAAGTCATTTTTTAAATATAAAATAGCAAAGGAACAGTGTTATTATTATTTAGGGAGCGGGGGTGTGCGGATCTTTGCTTTGCATGGATTAAAGTCAGCGCTTGAATGTTGTCACACCGTTATTCATTAAAAAGTTATTAACAAATAAAGTTGACAATTTAAATGTAATATGTTTAACTTTATAATTCAAATTTTACATAGAAAGTTATAAATCCATGTGAAACTTTACTTCGTGTCGTGAAATGTATGAGTAGACGCAGTGGGTTCCGTTTTCCTTCCCCTCTCTTTTAGAAGTTTCCATTATCAGAAAACTAGACATGTAGATTTTGATGGAACTGTATTTTGCGTGCAAAGTTAAACCCATTAATATATATAAACTAATATATTGTTTGTTTCATTATTTTATTAAAAAAAAATTAACTCTTTTTGTCATCAAAAATCGCTTAAAACTTTTATTTTAATCTGAAATGAGAAACTTTTTTACAAACTTTCGAAATCAGAGATAATTGGTTTTCGGAAATCTCCCCTTTTTTACGTAATATTTGCGTTACTTCTTAATATATTTATCTTATATTAAATTAACACAAAAATTTGAGTGGATCTTTTGGGACACGTAAAATGTGTTAAAATAAACACAAATTTTCTGTGTATCTTCGAGACTTCATACTTATTCGTTCACGGCTGATTCTCTGCGATCGTTCTTCATCGCCGAAGCGCGTCGGTCTTTCTTTTCCTTACCTTTTATGCGCACGCGTCTTAAAAGAATCCGCAAACGCGCGAAGGAACCGCGCGTGCACTTAGCATGATACCAGCAGCACGTTTCATGACACTGCAACTAAAGCGGGATTCACGGCACGCACGCGGTGCTAATTGCCGTCTAGGTCTGCAAATCGATCTGATTTGCGTCGCAAAGCAGATCCGCAAACGGCCAACGGGAGGAAACTTGGAAAGTAGGTCCCTGGAAGACTTCACTCGTATTCTCACCGCGAACTTAGCGCTCCGTGGCTTTCTGATTACGAACTCTCGGTGACAACACATACGGTATTTGTGTGTGCATAATATATTATTTTTGCAAGACTGAGCACGAGATATTTTTAACGTCAAATGGCGAGTGAATATTCGCTAATTTCTTTACTACATTTATACAGAAAACGGTTGCAGTCAAAAGATTTCTTTTGGTATTGGATACACCGTTATTAATTCATCAATCGTTATAAACGTCCAACACATGAAAAAAATCGTTTTGCTGAAGACCTAAAAATTTAGCTACATACAAATCTGAAAATATTTTGTGGGATATTAAAATAATTATGTAGGACATTTAGCGTGACGAGCAATGCTATAAAAAGTTCTAACATTCTGGCAACTAATTTGAGTACTCTATATCATTATTTTGATGGACCAACAAAATTATTTTTAGATCTGTGTATTTAATTAAAATTTTAAAAACCTACTTTAGCAAAGCTGCTCTTTCTGCATAATTGTATCTAACATTGCTAACATTATTTTTTCGCTGCATTGGAAAAAGAGTCTGTAGGTTGCGTTAATTGGAGTTCTAGTGAAAAATGGACGAATCAGAATATTTTATAGTTAAATCTGTTATAATTTTAGGCGAGATAATCAGATGTCCAGTTATGATGACCGGGATTCTGATTGATATAATCAGAATCTACTGATTTATTTATTTTTAATCAAAAATGTTTTTCAATATGCTATATTATATATTTTCGACATTGTGCATTTTAATTAAAAAAGATTTATATTTGATAGCGTACATAAATATATAAAAAATGTTAAATTCGAGGTTTTTATTTTTTATATGACAAAACATGGCCAAATTAATAATAACGGAATATTAATGTTAACTTTTGAAAACCGCCTCTTTTGCTCTTTTTCTTGCAGCGTCGAACGTACTACGCCGTGAAATATACCGCCGCGGAGAAATTTACCGCAAAATCCGGCTCTTTGATTCACTCTTTTGCCAGCATCGTAGCATGTGTACAACGTAATATTCTTGGAGTCAGCAAACTTTAACGCTGAACGCAAGCTGCGAAAGACCTTTGCGTCGCGTTCTTCTTAATTTGCCGTCGACGCGAAAATTTTTGTCGCGGGCTAATCCGCGCGCCGCTGCTTTCGTCGACATTATAAAAGCCATCGACGCGCGTAAAGTACATGCGGGAACATAAGTTTTTCCTTTTTTTTTTAACCCTTCTACATCGCAAACTGAAAGTAATAATGCATCGTCGTTGCGTGCGTAATACCCGGTATGTAGCATGTATGAGGAACGAGCTGGTGGCTCGTTAACTCGTCAGCTTTACAATCCCCGGGCACTTAATAAGGCGAAATTGTTTTTGGTGATGATGTATATACAGTATGTACACATACATAGTACCGAGCGACCGTCTTTAAATTGTTTCTTTGATCCGCCGTGCCCCGCTACGAAGCAACTCGGGTATACCGGGTGTCGCGATCAACATTTTCAACAAACGTTTGAACGTTTGATTCGTTAATCCGCGAGTTTTCCTTTCTGACGTTAATTAAATCGTGATCTCGCGCGAACTTCTCAGAAATCAAACGAGTTCGTGCTATTTGTGGGATACGAGGAAAAAACCTGCTCCCAGATTACAACGTGAACAAGTTGTAACTATTTACGTATTTGCTAAAATCGCAACGC